AATTCAGGTTGAGATAGATGAAGATCCAGCTGAATCCAAAACGGATGAACAAGATGAGAAAACCGAGGTATCTCTCTCATCCAATATCTTGATTAATCTTGGACTAATGTATTCGGCATAGTAGGAGATTCAGTGAAAATTCCTATTCATGACTGATGCGATGAATGAATTAACTTTCACAGAAAAAGAAGAAAACGAAGACTGTTGTTGAGAAATACTGGGATTGGGATCTCACTAATGATACACAACCAATATGGGTGAGCCTCATCTGTTTCCTTTTCAGATGTTTACTTTGCCTTTTGTGGTAGCAACTTATTAGGAAAACTCATACGTCATCTTATTTGATGTGTACAGCTTCGCAATCCTAAGGAAGTCAATACAGAGGATTACAATGAGTTCTACAAGAAAACTTTCAATGAATACTTGGATCCACTAGCATCTTCGCACTTCACAACAGAGGTATTTGTTGAGAATTAGTCCCACATTGATGGGAGGAGGGATTTTGCATGTGCTTATAAGAAGTTGGGCTACTCACCATATAGCCAATTGGTTTTATGGTGGAACCTCAACTTTCTTCATGGCATCAGAGCCAGGTTGTCCCACATGTAAGGCCAAACGGCCACACGCGCTCCACGTCTCCCCGTTATGTTGTCCATGTGTTAGGCTTGAAAATTCGCCACACATGAGGGGGTGTGTTGAGAATGAGTCCTACATTGATGGGAGGAGGGACCTTACATGGGCTTGTAAGAGAATGGGCTACTCCCCATATAACCAATTGGTTTTATGGTGGAACCTCGACTTCTTTCAGTATTAACAACTATTACTCCCTCGTTAAAAAAAATAAGTTTCTTAACAAATGTTTTTTTGAACTTATTTTGACGTAAATGCTGCATATTTCTGTATCATCACATGATTTGTGCTTCTTGAGTTGGGTAAAACTTATGTAGAATTGACGATTAAAGAAGTTCCTTAACAATGGCTATTTTGACTGCATTAGTTCCCTGAAGTTAGGATAAAATGTGTAATTGTTTGATTATGTACTCTTAATTTCATTTTTCTTTTGCTTTTAAGCTGAAAGAGGTTTCTATTTGCAGGGTGAAGTAGAGTTCAGGTCTATTCTATATGTCCCAGCTGTTCCTCCCATGGGGAAGGATGACATAGTCAATCCCAAGACAAAAAATATAAGGCTTTATGTGAAACGGGTGTTCATTTCAGATGACTTTGATGGAGAACTGGTAAACAACACAAAAGATGTTTTTTCAACACAGTAATGCATCGTTCTCTTAAATGTTGCTTATTGGTTCTAATTGTTTTTACATTGGCCCGAGCAGTTCCCACGATATTTAAGCTTCGTCAAAGGTGTTGTGGACTCGAATGATCTTCCACTCAATGTCTCACGTGAAATACTTCAGGAGAGTCGTATTGTGAGTACATCCACCTCACTATCTTTTTAACCTTTAGGTCTAGTTAGTTTGTTAAACAAACTACTGTTTCTGTGATGTACTTGTAGGTACGGATTATGAGGAAGCGCTTGGTTCGTAAGGCCTTTGACATGATCCTTGGAATATCCATGAGCGAGAACAGAGAAGTATGTTTTTTGTTGCATTTTCTTATTATTATTTTGTTTATTTTTTTTACATTCTTGTAGAAATATGGTTCAAATTTCAGCATCTTGGCAATTATCACTTCTTGCATGTCTCCTTTTTTGTTCCTTAGCTGTAGATATGAGTCATATGACTGAATCCTGATCATTGCCAGGCCATCTGCTATTAGGGCGTAGAGAATGATATCTTCGCTTAATGTTCTTTAAACACACTTATTTTTGTTTGTTGCAGGATTATGAAAAGTTCTGGGAAAATTTTGGCAAACACTTGAAACTGGGTTGCATTGAAGATCGTGAAAATCATAAGCGTATTGCTCCGTTGCTTAGATTTTTCTCTTCCCAGAGTGAGGATGTGATGATCAGCTTGGATGAATATCTTGAAAACATGAAACCTGAGCAGAAGGATATCTATTACATTGCTTCAGACAGTGTGACAAGTGCCAGGAATACACCATTCCTGGAGAAACTTCTTGAGAAGGACTTCGAAGTATGTATTGTCTCTCAATTAACTTGACGCTAATATATGATTATATTCATTTTCGTTCTGTTTTATGTATCCATGCATGATTTATGTTGTTCTATTGCTGTAGGTGTTGTACTTAGTTGATCCCATTGATGAGGTTGCCATCCAGAACCTTAAATCATACAAGGAGAAGAATTTCATTGATATTAGCAAGGAAGACCTAGATCTAGGTTGGTTCATTGGAGCCTTATAAGTTGAACATTTCTGTTCTGCTATGGATGGGTGGTTACAAATGTTCTTGCTTCATTGATTTTATGCGTCCTTTGCTAGGGATGTAGCTGACAAATCTGATTTGTGTGAATGACATTTTTACAGGGGATAGGAATGAGGAAAAAGAAAAGGAGATTAAGCAGGAATATAGCCAAACATGTGATTGGATTAAGAAGCGTTTGGGCGACAAGGTTGCCAGTGTTCAAATTTCAAACCGTCTTAGCTCGTCACCCTGTGTTCTTGTGTCGGGGAAGTTTGGCTGGTCTGCCAACATGGAGAGGTAAGAGGCTTCTGAATTGCTATTTATAACTTTTAGATATTCATGTGTTAGAACCTGAATGTTATCCTCTAAACTTTTGATTGGAACTTTCCAGGTTGATGAAGGCACAAACTGTCGGTGATACCTCTAGCCTGGAGTATATGAGAGGCAGGAGAGTGTTTGAGATTAATTCCGAGCACCCGATCATTAAAAACTTAAATGTATGTTTGCACAAAGAAAGTGCCAGTTCCCATCATTTGAATACTTGATGGTTTTAGCAAGTTTGACAACACTTTTAACCCTGGTTTGTAGGCTGCAAGCAAGATCAACCCGGATGATGAGGATGCTATTAGAGCTATTGATCTTCTGTACGACACAGCATTGGTGTCAAGCGGTTTTACTGTGAGTATTCGTACTTGCTCTCTTTTTATAACTGCTCTCCAATATTAGTTGGGTTGAAACACAAAAATGCCATGCAACACTATTACCCTCTAGGATGCTATTAGAGCTATTGATCTTCTGTACGACACAGCATTGGTGTCAAGCGGTTTTACTATGAGTATTCGTACTTGCTCTCTTTTTATAACTGCTCTCCAATATTAGTTTTGTTGAAACACAAAAATGCCATGCAACACTATTACCCTCTAGGATTTTTGTAGCCAATACTCGAAGATGTTTGACTTGCATGCTTGTTTGATGATGTTAGTGAGCGCCTAATGCTTTCACCTTGTAGGAATTATAAGGGGTCCAATATTTGTTGGGTTAAGACACAAAAATGCTACACACAACTGTTACCCTCTAGGAATTTATTGTAGCCAACACCCGAAAATGTTGATTTACATGCTTGTTTGAAGATGTCTGTGAGCATCTAACGCGTTCACCTTGCACGTCTTGTGAATGTAGCCTGATAATCCAGCAGAGCTGGGTGGAAAGATATACAAGATGATGAGTCTGGCGCTCTCTGGGAAATGGTCCACACCTGCTGCTGAAATTCAGCAGCCCGAACCCCAACAACACAACCCTGAGATACTCGAGGCCGAGGTTCGGCAACCAGGACCCCAACACAACCACCCCGAGACGCTAGAGGCCGAGGTGGTTGAGCCTGTTGAAGCCGGCAGTCAGAAATGAGGGGCACAAAGCAATTTTCCCTTTGCTCTCTTTTTTCTCAAAATTCATTGGTGTAGGGTCTCATAAAATGCAGGACGTAACTGTTAGGATATAATATTTGATGGAGCTATTGGCAAGAACTAAAGGAGCATAAAGCAATTTTCTATTTTTCTTACAAATATCAGTTGTAGGCTTCGGTGGCAGTGTTTATATATGGACGTAGGCTGTTTGCCTCAACTCTTAATTATGGGATTATTAATGATTTTGTGATTATTCCTTTTTTTGGTTCATTTTATTTTTTAAGCATAATCAAATCGGATGTTTACCATTAAGAAACTTTATTGAAGTTGTTATTGGCACTTTGAAAAGTTATTCTGCATTTCTTCTTTGTAGAAACGCCAACGAGAATTTGTACATGACGGAGTGCAATTGTTATCATTTGTCGAAATAAAATCACCTCTCAAAAATAGGTTATATACAAAGTAAATAATTGGCAAGAGATCATGTGTTTTAAATTCAGTTTGTAGTTTCTCTCCCAGTTAGTGGAAAACAAGGGCAAAAACAACAAAATTGCCCTCAAGTCCAAATAAACACACCTTCAACAATCCAAATAAGCAAGGGCAAGTGGTTGGCCAATCATTGCCGACCCAAGTGCGCAGCCATCTCAAGCCCGGCTTATTGCCTTCAGGCAAATTGATGTCAGCGTTCCTTTTTATGTTTTTTCTGTCAAGCACATGTAACATGCGTGCGACTAAGGGAGAGTGGCTAAAGAGATTGCAACAATGGACTCTGCTGCAGCATTTCAGTCAGATTTTTTCAATGGTAAGGACATATGATGCCATTTAAAACCGTTGAGTTTTCAACGGCCAGATGATGAGGACTGTATAAACTTACTAATTAACGCTGGAGTAGAAGTGATTGATTCGTAGTTAGATTGACTAAGATATGGAAAAGGAAAAGCTTCTAGAGCACGTTACATTTATTTATTTTTGTCAAAAATCTATATATTGTTCTACATAGGCTATGTACGCAAGTCAAGTGGCCCAACTTTCGGAAATGACCATTTTAACCTCGCTATTACACGTGGCGCGAGGCAAGCGATTCCAAACGTTTGAAACTTGGAAAGTCTTGACGTCTGGGTAAAAATCTGCATTGCGCGTGCCAAGGGCAAAATGGGAAAACAATCCCTTGGTAGAGAGATGAATAAAACTTCCCCAAATCTGTCTTTCCGCGTCTGGTCTCTACTGAGCAGCTGAATCTTCTCTCGGCCTTCTTCTGGTAAGCGCTCTCTCTCCCCTTCTCTCTCTCTCTCTCTCTCTCTCTCTCTCTCTCTCTTCTGTTTGGTCGCCGAGAAAATACGGTGGAAAATGAATGGAAATTCTCTTAGATTCATTTGCTGCTCTTGATCTAGTAATTTAGCAAAACCCCCAGCACTGAAACAAGGCAAGTACTCGATTTGGGATCGGTTCAGTGACCTTTGAAATTTACTCTTTGTTGCTGTAATTCTCTCTCTGTGCTGTGTGAGTCGTGGATTGGTGTCAAATTAATCACCAGGAGAAGCAGATTCGATGGAAAAGGAGGGTTTTTTTTTTTTTTTTCCTTCTGTGAAAAGTAAATAAATTTGGGGCTTTCTATTGTGTGGAAATTGGTAAAGGTCTGCCTTTTTTGTTGTGTGTTTGTGAAATGTTCTTGTGGCTTGAACATTATTTCGTTTCGAAAAATTGGAGACTTTTTGACAATAGTCTTGCTTGACAGTTGAAATTAGTTTAAGACTGTTAATGTTATGGACAGAGGAAAGCTTGATTGGCAGTATTACTTTGTTCAATTTCAGTAAAAATTAGTTATTTTGTGACGAATACTTCTTCGGAATCATTTGTTGTGAATTTTCTTTGCCTCGATATTAGCTGAATAAGAATAGTAATTGTAATTATAATCTCTCGTGAGAATTTTTTATTATTCGTATCTGCATTCAATCGATGCTGTAGAAACTAGATGATATGCTTCTCGTAGCATCTTGCCTAATCACAATAAGCCAATTGAGTTTCATGTAATTGAAAATGCTCCTAATCTTCTTACCGATATTTGCAATTGTTTATGTGTGCATGCACGTGTTTTCATTTGGCGGTGCTGAATGGGTGCTTAATGGGTGTTGTAACAAGTTCGTTTTGAAGAAATTTAACCTCACTCTTCTCAGATATCAGAATATGCGTTCGTCATTATAGCTTTCAAAAGATTTCAAGTTTTATGGTACTGAATACTGATAGGTGATACTTCTTTTGCCGCAGTTGCAGATAAAGGGAACTGGTGGATGGGTACATCATCTGGTTCCAATATTCACCAACAGCCTTCATCAAGAATGCTTCCTCCACGTCAGCAACCACGAGCAGGGGGATTACAAACTTCACTGTCCCTTGTCTCTTCAGATCCTCGGCTGTCCCCAGAAGAACCCAGATCAAATTCTGATCACAGACGGGAGTCCCCTACCGAGAGTGCCAGTTCTCGAGAAACCTGGCCTGCTGCTGATGTCATAATGGCAAAGAAGATGGAGAATGGGAAAGCAGAAAATGATTGCCCTGAACAATCAGTCATTCGCTGTCTTTCCAGTGCTGATAAGATATCTCTTCGAGAAATAGCTGGAGAGCGAGTTGATATAATCGCTGAAAAGATGCATCACCTACCCGACGAGTTTCAAGAAGAATTGAAGAACAACCTCCGAGTCATCCTCGATGGGAATGGAGGTTCACAGCAGCGAGAGGAATTTTTTATTTTGCAGAAGCTTGTTCAGAGTAGAGCGGACTTAACAGCTAAGACATTGATTAGAGCACACAGAGTGCAGCTTGAAATCCTTGTTGCAATAAATACCGGGATTCTGGCATTTTTGCATCCAAATATCAGTCTTTCTCAAACTTCCTTAATTGAAGTTTTCGTGTACAAGAGATGCAGGAATATAGCATGCCAAAACCAGATTCCTGCTGATGATTGTACCTGTGAGATATGCACGAAAAGGAATGGTTTCTGCAATCTTTGCATGTGTGTAATCTGTAACAAGTTCGACTTTGAAGTTAACACTTGCCGCTGGGTTGGTTGTGATTTGTGTTCGCATTGGACTCACACTGACTGTGCGATTCGTGATGGACTAATAAGCATGGGACCCTCCGGTAAGAGTGGAGCAGGGCCATCCGAAATGCTTTTCAGGTGTCGAGCTTGCAATCGAACATCTGAGCTATTGGGCTGGGTCAAAGATGTTTTTCAACACTGCGCTCCTGCCTGGGACCGGGAAGCTCTGACAAGGGAGCTTGACTTTGTTAGTAGGATTTTTCGTGGAAGTGAAGACCCCCGAGGGCAAAAACTCTTTTGGAAGTGTGAGGAGCTCAAAGAAAAAATAAAAAGTGAACTTGCAGATTCGACAGCAGCCTGCAGAGCAATATTGATGTTTTTCCAAGGTACGTAATTTTTTTAAGCGTTTTATTTTCCTTTCCGCGTGGTGTCAGATTCAGTTTGCTTCTTAGGGAAGAAGATGTATTATGGTACTGTCAAGTCTTATGGAATAGGATTCCACTCCAACTATAGGACAAATATTTTTTGAATTGTGGGTTTTGTTGCAGTATTTGCGTACTGTAGTGTGTTGTCGTACTTTTATTTTTATCTTTAATCTATTTTGTCCTGATTTGAAGTATTTTCTTGATGAAGAGCTTGAGGGAGATTCTCCAAAGAGTCTGGAAAACGGGGAAAGTGGACGGCTAATAGCACCACAGGAGGCTTGTAATCGAATCGCTGAAGTGGTGCACGAGGCCATAAGGAAGATGGAAATGGTGGCAGATGAGAAGATGAGAATGTATAAGAAATCCCGAATGGCTGTTGATGCTTGTGACAGGGAACTCCAGGACAAAGCCAGGGAAGTCCAAGAGCTAAAGCTTGAGAGGCAAAAAAAGAAGAATCAAATTGACGAGCTGGAGAAAATTGTGAGGCTCAAACATGCAGAGGCTGATATGTTCCAACTCAAGGCCAATGAGGCAAAACGAGAGGCTGACAGGCTCCAGAGGATCGCTCTTGCCAAGTCAGATAAATCAGAGGAAGAATATGCCAACAGTTACTTAAAACAACGGTTGAGTGAAGCCGAGGCAGAAAAGCAGTACCTTTTTGAGAAGATTAAACTGCAAGAGAGTTCGCGAGCATCCCAGAATGGTGGCGGCGGCAGTGGTGACCCTTCTCAGTTGCTTATGTACTCGAAAATGCATGATATGATGCCAAACGAACGCCATCCTTTCAGAAAAAATCCCTGAGGAACGATTTCTAGTATGTACTGTATTATTTTAAATTCAACAGTAGTAATTTACTTTCTTTAGTGAACTAGTTTGAACGTGGTGACTCTCTTGTTTAATTTGACATGTGTGCCCTGCGGGCATTTTAACTGCATCTATATATTTGTGAAGGTTGATAGTTAAAGCAATTTGTTATATACTCGCATGTCTCAGTGGTTGTTTTGGAGCTGATTTATTTGATGCATATCTTTCTGTTGTTAGAGAAAATCAGGCAGTAAACAGAATGAGGTCCTTTATTGTTTTCTTCGTTGCATTGTTTACCGTCATGAAGTGGACAGAAGTTAAAACTCCGTCGACCATTTATCTGAACATGACTGAACTTGCTACAAGTGTACTCGTAGCTGAGTGCGGTGACTCTTCTTTAGGTTGGTGGCCGGAGAGGCGCTATTTTCTTTCGGTAAACCATGAAACCGGGAGAACGGAGATTGATGTGCAGGGTTACCGGAATGACCATGAAAGTTGTGGAACGCCATAGCCGCAGTAATACCATGACACCTACTTGTAGAGCTTACAGAGACATTTGGAGTGAAAATATTGGCGTTGTTTAAGAAGAGAGGCCTGATCTTCTGGACTTGGTGATGCTGATGATCTTTCTGGGGCTGTTTGAGGGAACCAGAGTTCCATTCGGAAAACGCAGCAGATGCCTGAACTCTAGTGCGGTCAGTATTAAATGGCTGAGGATGAACTCTAGGACGCTGCAGATGCTTTTATTTACGATCTTAAGGAGGATAACAAATCCATGGTAAGACCGAGTTCTCATGTCCGCCATGGCGCCTGCAGATCGGTTTGGTTGATCGGATTTGCAGGCTTAGAATCTCCAACTGCAAATAGTAGAAAGATGCAGAACCAGAAGGCCACTAGTACAACCTTGAGTGTATTTTAAGCTGCTGAAGTACAGGGATGGTATTATTTTGTTTATATTTATTTTGGATAGAAGATAAATGAGATAAGGAAATCGAACTCAAGACCTTGAGTACAGTAATGATATTTCTCTAGGCTGCTGATGCAGAGGGCTGGTATTAAATTTATAGCTTGGTTTGCATTTCATGATATTTCTCTAGGCTGCTGATGCAGAGGGCTGGTATTAAATTTATAGCTTGGTTTGCATTTCATGCTTTCTGAACCAGCAACCAAAGATGGATTGGTGAAATGTTGGGTACACGCTTTTTGTTTTGGGGTTTTAGTTGGAAGGTATTTTATGCATGGGCGTGTAGTATATCTCCATTTTTTTCTTTTCCTTAAATTGTTTTTCACTATTCTCTCTATTTATTGTGCCCAACAGCTTTCGAAAATGTTTGTATTATTAATTACATGGTGAGTACCGCCTAAAAATGTTGCACAAATACCTGTCCAATCTTTAATTACGGGGAATAACTTAATTGCGAAGATGTATTTTTTGTTCTATGATTGATTGACATGTTTACTTACAAAAAATGAGACTGTAAAGTACAAATTCGCTATTTACACACGCAAAAAATAAAGGAAAATATTTCAAAATGGAACAATTTCTTAATCACGGGACAGAAATAGGATAAACCAATCATGCACAAGTCATGCACATCATGCACAAACCGAAATTACTAAAATACTCACATATAAATGAGTTATTCCTCACTTTCTCTCCCCCATTTTCTAGTTTCTCTCTCCCTTCCTCTCTCTTTTCTTACTTTCTCTCTCTCTCTACTCTCTCTCCCTTCCTTAGATCTCTAAGCTCTGATTTCGAAGAAATGGAAGTCCAAAGAGAGGCGAGAAGAGTGAGCTGGGCTTTGGGTTCACCTCATACCTTTAGTTTCGAACAAAGGGATGTGAGAGAGAGGTGAGAAGAGTGAGCTGGGTTTTGTACCATATTTTCTGTTTTGGTCGATAAGTTCCATTTTTTTTGGCGATTGAAGCTTCGACATGCATAGTAAGGTAGGGTGTTTAGTTCAAGGTTTCTTCATCAATGATTTATGGAATAAATGGGTTATTTGTAAGATGAATTAATACTTAGAAGTTAAATTAGGGTTTGTGTTTCATGTTGGGGCGTAAGGGTTGCGGAATAAATTTCAAGTTTTGACATGTTACAAGCCTACAAGATTGGGATGGAACAATTTCTGATTCAAGTGTTCAATTGCAGAAATTTGTGAAAATTTTTCCGTGGTGTGCATGTGGTGTGCATATGGTGTGCATGACTACATCTTAATATGAGAAGCGAGAATGTTCACTAGTTATGATGAATGTATGTTGTGCCTCAGAATTTAGTAAGTATGACCATAACCTAGTTGGTCTCTGTCGCATCGTAAACTGGCTCCGCCGTAGCACGATATTGTCTGTTTTGGGCCACGCCCTCACGGTTTTGTTTTTGGAAACTCACACGAGAACTTCCCAATGGGTCACATCCTAGGATTGCTCTCGCCCGAACTCGCTTAACTTTGGAGTTCCGATGGAATCCGAAGTCAGTGAGTCCCCAAAAGGTCTCGTGCTATATGGAGGTAGGCATTTACATATAAGGCACATCACCCCTTCTCCGTTGATCAATATGGGATGTTACAGTCTCGGTAAAAAACAAAATTAAGAAAAAACGTAAATGACGTTAAGGGTCATGTGTGTCGGTGAAATAACGACAACGAGTATCATATTTTTCACGTGCACGGTTAAGAGGTGGTTGATATATGTAACATGACTTTTCAAACTATCACTATAACCTTATATACATAACAATTATGTTTTAAGTGTATCTACTATACCAATATGTTGCAGTTAAAGTTTCTTTCGTTCTGTGCATATCATGTGCATGTATTGTGCATATTATGTGCATATGATGTGCATTTAGTTTATTATGTATAGATAGTGCGTATTTACATCTTTGATACTCTTTGCATTAACGTAGTTTACTATTTTTTCCTTTGATTCAGAAGCAGGCCCTGCAAATACATAAAAAGCGAACGAGTTCGTGAAACAATTTCCTTTGATTCAGTTGGGTTCTTTCGTGCCCATTCAAACTGCAATTTTTTCAAATCCTTGAAATATTTGAACCAAATTCAAATTAACGAATCTTTGATTCTTCATATAAAGTCTAGGGTCATTTATTTGATTGCAGCATTTTTCTGATTTCGAAGAGAGAGCTGTGAGTTATGAGTTTTTTTTTGTTTTTTTGGTTGAACTCAGATATGTGAGCATAACATGTGCATGTCCTGTGCATGTGTACATACAATGTATGAGTGAGATTAAACGAAGAGAGTGAACGAGTACGGGAAACGATTTCTTCCATATCCTTCTCTCTTCCTTCTTTCCACTCTAATTTCTCTCTTTTCCCTCAAATTTATCTCTTCTCCAAAAGGCAACTAACCTTTAATACGTTTTTTCATTTAATTGTAGCAAAATCAAAGTTGAAGGATTTGGGTCTCCTCCAAGAAACACCAAACCAATCACTTCAACTCTAAGAATCCATCAATCAAAAAGCAAAATTAAGCAAAACCAGTTCACAAAACCTACAAATGAAAAGGTAAAAATCGAAGAAGATGAGTCGGTTAGAGATAGAGCTCTTGTGCATATTCGAAATGTAGAGAGATGAGAGAGAGAAAGAGAGAAAGAGCTTGGATGAAGATGATGGGTGGGTTAGGATTCTTTAAACTAGAATTTCTCTCTCCTCTATGTTTCTCCCTCTACAAAATGAGAAATGAGAGCTGGAATTTTTGGATAACCTATTTATATGAAAGGACAATTTGGTCATTTCAAAGTGTAGGAAAAATCTTATTTCTGTCCGATTGTTGTGCATGGCGTGTGCATGATGTATGCATATTTAAAATGTCCTATTTCTGTCCCAAAATTAAATAAATAAATGGTGTCTGGTGTTAAAAATGTGTCTTCCATTCCCAGTTTTAACAAAGTATTGTCACCAAAAAGCGATATGCTATCAAATACTTGAACAATTTATGAATAAATAATAAGTGGGGGACTGCCATAATTGCTAGGACTAGACCTATAAAAAGGACTGAGGCCCAATGGGCCGGAATAAAAATCAAGCATAGCCCTATTTGTGGGCTATGGGCCTCCCAGTCTTAGGACCGAGATTTAACTAGCCCGATTTAAAATGGGTAAGTTTTGGAGGTTTGGGCCATGCATTTTAGGCCCTGAGTCGAGTTTAGGTCTGGCCCTTAAGCCCAGTTCTTAGGCCCGGCTTGATATGAATGTAATTTAAAATACTTTTGGATTTTCTTTAATATAATTAAATTTTTTTCAATACTTATATAAACCATTGAGACTCGAGCTGACGAAACCATTCGACTAGATAAGAACGGGGCTAAAAAGATAAAAAATGATATTTGTTAATTGATTATATTAACCAAACAAATACCTTAATTGATATGGTCATTGATAACTAATAAAATTAAGAGGTTCTAAGTTTAATTCTTATCAATATTACTAAAAAAATATTTAAAGGAAAATGATTAAAGAGCGAAAATTGGGGCGGGTTGGGCGGCCCGCTCGTAGGCCCAATTTTCTCGACTCGCGGACTAGCCTACGCCTTACTTCTTCGGCAAAGGGCCGATTTAGGCCGACCAAATTTTTCCCTAGGGCCCAAAATTTTCAGGTCGGGTAGGGATTGGGCCTTGACTTCTTAGAACCGGGTCAAACCGGCTCAACCCATCTTACATGTCTAATTAGGACATTTCACTTCAACTCATTGTATCTAAGAGAACAAACTCTTATGTTCTCCATAGTGTAGCTTAAATAATAATCTCTATTACTTAATGAAACCCTCTTTCTCAATCAAAAGATTGTGAAATGACTACTTAGTCTTCTATCACACAAAAAAATTGATGGGTAATAATGTAATTTTATAGGTCCAAATTTTACTTTTTTTTTTATTAAAGCCAGGTGATGTTAAAATATATCCAATATTAAAATTATAAAAAAATAAAAATAAAACCAAAAATAAAAACCTCCCACTCCCCCCATGTTCTCCCTCTCTCTCTCCCTCTCTCCTTCTCATTTTTCTAAAAAAATGTGTTCATACACACAAAGTATGTAGGTAAGTGCAAGTATTACTTATAATAATTAAAAAATTAAATCGTGAGTATCATCTTCATCATAAGAAAATGCCAAGCTTTAAGCTTCAATTTGGCTGCATGACAAGGATTGAGTTTGAAGCTGAAT